TACCAAGCCACATGTGGCTAGTGTGTATCCCTTGGAGGCAATGTAGCTCTAGAGTCACAGTTAACACTGGTGAGTGGAGGTGGTCTACCACAGTGGTTTGAAGCAGACTCTGCAGCTGGCAGCCCTGACATAAATCCTGGTTTGCAACCTTGTATAAGTTACCTACCCTCTTTGAGTCCATCTCCCATCTATAAGATGAATATTATAACAGTGCCTATATCACAGAGGGCTGTTGGAAAAATTAACTGAGATCATCCATGCAAAACTCTTAAAGTGCCTGGCATCTCTAGAGCTCTCAGTAAGTGGCTGCTATTATGATGTTTTGGTGTTAAGATGTTATGATGTTTAGTGCTATCTTATTTTCTTGTGCTTTGGCCCTAGTTACTGAGCTTCAATATATCAACCTACCTTGCTTGTGCCTAGAGGTGTGAGAATAATGACATTTGTCCTTATTGACTCCTTTGAGCTCCATAGCAAAGAATATGTTATTTGATTTTGCAACTTTATTGTGTCTGAGCTGAGAATAAAATGAGATTTCAAAATGAAAGAAAAGATGAAATAGTCAAGGTCAGGATAATAACGTGAAAAAATCCCATGTCGTGCATTCCCAATTTCCAATTCATGCAACAGGCATTTACTGAATCTTTACTGAGAGACTGGTGATTACAAGCACAGACTCTGGAGCTAGACTACCTGGGCTTGTATACACTTCTTATCAGCTGTGTGACCTTGGGTAAATTAGTTAAGCTCTCAGTCTCTATTTCATTGTTTTTCAATTGGCCATAACAATAGTACCTACCTCATAGGGTTGTTGTAAAGATTAAATGAGTCAGTATATGTAAAACAATTTGCAGAAGTACATGGCACTGATAAACACTTGATAAGTATTGGCTGATGTGCCAATATATGCTAGCCACTATTTTAGGTGCTGGAAAAACAAAGATACGTAATTGCCATCTCTGATCTCATTAAGGTTATATACTAGTAGAGAGAGAAAGACATATGAACATATACATACAATAAGGTGTTACAGACAATAAAGATGTAAGCATGCACAGGATACTGAGGGGACATTAAGAAAGGGGAGATCAAGTTGGCTTGGTTAGAGGGCAATCTAGAAACTTTTCATAGAGCTATAGAACAGGTTGTGATGGGGAACATTGCAGGCACATGTTAAACAAGGATCATAAATCCACAGAACTAAGAGCAATTGATAAATTGGTATGTCTAGGATTGGTATGTAAGGAAGAGGGAGTAGGTAGAAGATAAGTTTGGAAAGGTCAGCAGGAAACAGATTCTGAAAGGACTTTTAAATTAGGTTTAAGAATTCATACTTTATCTTGAACAGTGGGAACCCATCCAAGGGTTTTAAGTAGGGAACTATCATGATCAGGTCATTTTAGAAGGACCCCATTGGCAACAGTGGGGAAGAAGACTGAAGGAAGAGACAGCAGTGAGAGGGCTATTGTAGTAATCTAGGCATGAGGTACTAAAATAACTACCATGGCGACAGAAAGGTGGGGAACAGTATTGGAGATGTTCAGAAGAGATCTAGTCAACTGATGACTACGTGATAGATAATACGGAAGGAGAACCAATTTTGGAGAGAAAGTCTATGGAGTCATTATGGGACATGATGTTGGCTTGATGTAAGGCAGTTTAATATGTGGTTCAGAAACATGGGAAAACTGTACATGAACAACAATTAAAAAAAGAAAGAAACATGGGAGAAAGTGGTTAAGACTAGAGATACAAACATAACAGGCCCTCTTTTCATTCTCCACTTCCTTCTAAAGTTATCATCCCCAGGGCTTTAAATACTGTCTTTATGCTGATGAATTTCGATCCCCAAATTTTCTTCTCTAGCCCTGATGACCTAAATAAGGTTTAGACTTCTATAACCAGCCATTCACTTAGGATGTCCAGTTGGGTGACTAATACACAGCCCAAATTTTACATGTTCGAAACTCAATCCTTGAAGCAATCCCCACCATGAACTGGTCCTCCCTGGTCTCAGTGAATGATACCCACCATCCAGCTAGTTGCTTAAGCTAAAATCCTGGGAGTGGTCTTTGATTCCTCCCTCTCCCTCATCTCCTATCCCTCATCTGTCAGCAAATCCCACTGGTCCCATCTGTAATAAAAATTAATCTCTCTCTTTTTCTCTCCATGTCCTTGGCCTCCACCATAATCCACACTGCTGTTGTCTCTCTCTCAGATCAATGCAGCAGTCTCCTCCCTACTTTCCCTGCTTCCATAGACCATTCTCCACACAACAGCCACAGCCTACTTTTACATGGGTAAATCACATACCACTCTCCCTGCTTCAAAACCCTCCAAGGGCTTCCAATTGCACTTTGTATAACATCTAAGGTCTCTACTTTGGCCTGATAAGACATAGCCCTTGCTTGAATCTCTCATCTCATCCCATCCTGCTCTTCTTGCTTTCTATGCTCCAGCTATATTTTGGCAACTTTCTTGGCCTCATTCCTGCTGAGTCTCTAGCATCCAGCACAATACCTAGCATAGGAGATTAATGAATATTTATTGAACAAATTAGTCAGGATCTGGATGGAGGTTATTGAAGTCATAGGAAATTGTAAACTTGGGATTACTTCAGGGAAAGCCTAGAGAGTAAATTGAAATTCTAAAGGGATAAGCAGAGGAAGGAATGCCTAAAAAACCAACTTGAACAAACAACAGAGTGGTAGGAGGAGAAAAAGGAAAGTGTGATGTTACAGAAGGCAATCACACTTCCCTCTCCAGAAGTAAGCAATACTAACAGATGGGTGGGTATTCTTCCAAATCATCTTCTATGTATTTACATACATTCACAAATATTTATATTACATGCATATATAGTTGTGGTTTTTATATAAAATGAGCTCATAGTACATGCATTATTCCATCACTTGCTTTACAAAATAACAGCTTTATTGAGCTATAATTTGCATGCCATACAATTCACACATTTACAGTGTACAATTCAATGGTTTTTAGCATATTTACACATATGTGCAACCACCATGATAAATTTTTATAACATTTTTGTCACCTCAAAAAAGAAACTCTGTACCCTTTAGGTATCACCCTTTTATCCCCCATTTACCACCTCCAACCCTAAGCAACCACTAATCTACATCCTGTCTCTACAGATTTACCTATTCTGGATATTTCATATAAATGGAAGCATATAATATGTGGTCTTTTGTGATTGGCTTATTTAACTTAACATAAGGTTTTCAACATTCATTCATATTGTAGCATGTGTCAGTACTTTCTTCTTTTTATTGGTGAATAGTAAGTAGTCCATTGTGTGTATAGACCATATGTTGTTTATCCATTCATCAGTTGGTGGACATTGAGTTGTTTCCAATTTTTGTTGTTATGAATAATATTTTTATGAACACTTAATTACAAGTTTTTTTGAAGACATATATTTTTGTTTCTTTTGAGTATATACCTAGGAGTGGAATTGCTGGGTCATATGTAACTCTATGTTTGCCATTTTTAGGAACTGTCAGACTATTTTCCAAAGTTGCTACACCATTTTACATTCCCTCCAGCAGCTTATGAGGGTTTCATTTTCTCCAGATCTTCAGTAACATGTGTTAGTGCCTATCTTTTTAATTATAGCCATTCTAGGGGGTGTGATATCACTTGCTCTTTTATTTAATGTTTATTGAATATTTTTCTATATTGACACATATAGATGTCTCACATATTTAACTGCTAGGTAATATTCCACAGAGGCCATGCTTTTCAAGATGACCCTGTCTATACAATTGTGTTATTTCCTCCCCAGGGCTCAGTAGCCTAGAAATAGAAACAGCAGTGGTGAATGATGGCATTGATCCAGACTTGGAAATTGTGTGGCAAGTAAGGCTGAAGATTGGTGTTGATGGTAATGGTGAGGAGTACTTGAAGTGAGTTACCAACCCTGGTACATATCAATCCTGTGTAAGTGATAATGCCAAGGAGCTGGAGTGGATGGGATAGCATAACTGCTGGAGCCTTGAAAGCAGGGGTTTTGCATACAGGGCAAAGATAGTTTTGTTTTGCTTTTACCCATTTCCTCTGTTGATTTTTTTTCTGTTTTAAGATTTCATCATTTACTGCTTTGCTTTCTTAAACAGATGATTCAGAATGTAACATAACCTTGTTTTGTGACTCAAACTGGCCATTATGACCACATGCTTTTGCTGTGGACCTCTGAGTCACGTATGAATATATCTTTGTCTATTAAATGGATCCAAGATTTCTATGGTTTTGAATTTCTCTCCTTCAATTTGTAGCTTTACATTTTTGGGTGTCAGAGTCTGAGATCAGTGTATTCTATATAGTTTCTTCTAATGTCCAGCTTTTTGACCAAGGATTGATGCCATGCATCTCTTGTGAAGTTGATGCATTTTTTGGTAGCAATTTTACTTACTATTTAGGTGGGTTTTTTTTTTCTTTTCTAGGTTTGTGATTATATTATGGCAGAAGTTATGAGAAATCTGATCTCCAGAGAAGTGTTGGCGATTCTTTAACTTGACATAAACTGTTTTTGACAAGCTAGTTTTCTAGCCTTGAAGAGTTTAATGAATAAGTTTGTATTCACCTTATCCACATACTTTTAAATGTAGAGACCTGCTATAATATAGTAGCTACTAGCTACATGTGGCTTCCCCCTGCCCAAATCTATTGGTTAATTTCAAGTGACACAGAATTTAGGATAGAACAAAGACTGAAGAACACACTTTGACAGGATTCTGGGCTGGGTTTATTCTGACCACACAGTTAAGGTTGAAATGGCAGAGTGAGAAGAACTAAAGAAAGGAACCACTGCATGACTATTATTATTTTTTTTTACAAAAGTTTATTGTTAAATGTACAACAGGCTCCCGGACAACACTTCATTCCAACTATAAGTGGCAAGAGATGTTATGACAGGGAATCCAGATGTTAAAACAGGAATGGAATGAAGGATCACCACTGCCCCAGTAACAAGGAACAGCTCACTTTTTGCCATATTTCTTCATTCCATCTGTGGCCAGGGGGCCCTTCCCTGTGGCCTTCACTTTTACTGCCTCAAGTTTCTTCTGCTCTTCTTTTTGCTTCTGTTTAATTGCCTTGTCTTCCTTGTCTATCTCCTTGGCCTGCTTCTTGGGCTGCTTCAGGGGCTCCTTCTTGCCACGTTTGCGGCTACACATGGTGCCTGCTGCCCCCTTCCAGACCCTCTACTTGTGGCTTTTAAAATTTAAATATAAATTGAATAAATCACATTAAAAATTTAGTTTCTTAGTTGCACTAGTCACAAGTGCTACTAAGTTGAAGTTTTCACATGTGGCTAGTGACTACCATATTGGAAAGTGCAGATATAGAATATTTCCATATCACAGAAAGTTCTATTGGACAGCAGTTGTCTAGACATTGATCCAGTTTCCTCTCAGGTTTCACCCTTCCAGACTGTAGTCTCATGTTTTTAGCATGTCCTTGTGCAGCATCCATGTCCCTACTACTCAGCAGTGCTCCCTGACCTCCCATCCCTGATCATGTCCCTAGCCCTCTGTCAGAGTATTAGATTTTTTGTTGTTGCTACAACAAATTTCTATAAATTTCATAGCTTAAACCAACACACATTTATTACCTTATAGTTCCGGAGATAAGAAGTCTAAAGTCCACCATTTCCTGGTTTCTAGAGGTCACCTGCATTTCATTGGCTCATAGCCTATTCTTCCATCTTCATAGCCAGGACATAGTGTCTTCAAAACTCACTCAATCTTTGAGCTCTGCTTCCACAGTTGTATTGCCTTCTCTGACTCTGACTCTCCTGTTTCTCTCTTACATGGACTCTACTTATATTAGCCCTACCTAGATAATCCAGGATAATCTCCCAATCTCATATCTTTAATTTAATCATACCTCCAAAATCCTTTGTATCATGCAAGGTGACATATTCACGGATCCCAGGAATTAGAACATGGACATCCTTGAAGGGTAATGATTCAGCCAACCAGAACAGGCCATCTTCTCCAGTGGCATCTTGTTTTCCTTGAGGACTGCTGCTGCACAGAGTATGCCACACACTGTTTCCCAAGGTTTTATACAGAAAGAGAATATTTTAAAATCTTTTTTCTGCCTTCATCCTGTCTAGAAATACAAAATTTTGGTTGTTCTGACTCCTTAAAATATGATCCTATGAGTACAATGGCACAGGTGCATCTTATAGGCAAGACAAATCCATAGCTAATTCAGTGTCCTATCAGAGTGTCCCACTGTGACACAGTTGCTATTTCAGGGGTGATGTCTGCCAGCCTTTCTTCTCAAAAATAAACAAAAACATGCATACCCTCAATCAAAAAGAAAAAAACTGGGACTCAATATATTACCCAAAGCAACACCTCTGGAGTTTTTCTTTGTCTAGGAAAAGGTGACCGGAAAGCCTGAGTCATCCCTAGGAGAAGCAGCAGCAGAAACCAATACAAAATTGATCTTCTACTTCCAGACTGTACAAGATGGCTTAGACTCATTTCTCTCTGCTCCTTTCACTTAAGTATAACTATAAATCCTATAAATAATCCAAGAGTCAATCAAAGGAAAATTCTGAAGGTATAAAGAGGAAGATAAAATGGCTAGGAACCTCTGGACTGGAGGAATACCATACTAGCATGATGCTTAATGAATCCCCCACAACTAAAAAAGGCATTTTCTACTCCCAGCCTAGCAATGAGATGGCTTACGGAGGTTCCTTCTTCCTCTGGACTAAATGGTAGTCCTGCTGACAACACCAGGTGAGTGGGGAAACTCCAGCAAAGAGAATCTAACAGGGAGCCCCACTGACAATAAGCAGCCAGAAGAAGTGCTCTTTTTCAAGGCCAGAGAGTCTGCTACCCCACCAAAAGATACTGTGCAACCAGAGCACTATCAAGGGGAAACCCCACCACAACAATTAATCTGGTTTAGGAAGCCTCTATCCCCATGGTCATGAGGACGCCCTCTCCCCATGAGAGATACCAGGAGAGTATACACCATTTACAATGGAGGTTCCACCAAGGAAGCAAAGCCAGGGAAGATTCATTGTTTTCACAGACTAGAGACTCACTTCCTTCACCTAGAGGCATCAGGCAACCCAGCCTGGTAAAACACCTTCTACTCCCTCAGGCAGCACCAGCAGAGCTGTGGGGCATCGACACACTAACCCAGCAGACCAAAATAGCACCACAGAGGCTCTGAAAAGTAAATTGTCATTGCAATCACAGTCTAAGAAGTAGGCCAGGACCTGTGTGCTAAACCTAAACACAGTGACTGCCTGCTAAAATAGACTTCAATAGTGTCCTAACATAGTAGCCAAAATGTCTGGAATATGATAATTAAAAAAATCACCCATCATATCAAGAACCAGAAAATCACAACTCAAATGAGAAAAGACAATCAACTGACATAATACTGAGATGATTCAGATGTTTGAATTATCTGACAAAGATTTTAGTGCAGCCATCACAAAAATGCTTCAATAAGCAGTTACAGAGTTTCTTTAAACAAATGAGAAAAAAAAGAAAATCTGAACAAAGAAATACAAGTTATACAAAAAGAACCAAATGGAAATTATAGAACTGAAAAATACAATAACAGAAAAAATTTTAAAAACTTGCTGAATAGGCTCAATGGTATAGTGAAGATAATAGAGAATACAATCAGTGAACTTGAGGATAAACTGATAGAATTAACTCAATCTTGAAAAACAGAGAAAAAAGACTGAAAAAAGAGCTTCAGAGACCTGTGGGAAATAACAAAAAAATCCAATATTCATATTATATGAATCTGAGAAAGATACCAAAACCAGACAAAGACAGTACAAAAAAAAAGGGGGGGGGGAGAAACTACAGACCAGTATCTCTCATCAGCTTAGATACAAAAAAGTCTTTTGTAAGCTATAAGTAAAATGAATTCAATAGTGTATAAAAGAATTATATACCCTGAACCAAGTGAGATTTATTCAAGTCATACAAAACTGATTCAATATTTTAAAATCAATCAATGTATATCAACAAACTAAAGAAAAAAATCATATGACTATATTAGTTAACACAGGAAAATATTGACAAAAATTCAACAGTTATTTGTGATAACAACTCTCATAAAGAACATCTACAGAAAACCTAGAGCAAACATTATACTTAATGCTTTCCTTCTTAAGACTGGAACAAGGCAAATGTGTCTGCTCTTGTCACTTATATTCAACGTTGTACTGGAAGTTCTAACAAGTACAACAAGGCAAGAAAAATAAATAAAACATACATATTTGAAACAGTCAAGTAAAATTGTATTTGCAGAGGACTTGACTGTCTACATAAAACAATCACAAGGAATCTCAAAAAACAATTCTAGCATTAATAATTGAATTCAGCAAGGTCATGATCAAGGTCAAGATCAACACACAAAAATAATTACATTTTATATAAAAACTGTGGAAATCTGAATAAAAGACAATACCATTTATAATTGCTCCAAGGAAAATGAAATATTTAGGGATAAACTTAACAAGATGTAGGTAAGATCTATATGCTGAAAATTATGAAACACTGATGGAAGAACTCAGAGAAGAAATTAAGAATTTGAGAGACTGTTCATGAATTGGAAGACTCAACATAGTAAAGATGTTAGTTCTCCTCAATTGATCTATAGGTTAATAAAATGCCTATCCAAATCCCAGCAGGGATTTCTGTAAACATAGCTAAGCTTATTATAAAATTTATAAGGAAAGTCAGAGGACCCAGAGTAGCTAAAATGATTTCTATAAAGAATAAACTGGGGGTGTTCATTCTTCCCAACATAAAGGCTCACTATATAGCTCCAGTGATCAGGACAGTAGGTAATAGTGGGTAGAAGATAAAGATATCCACAAAGATAAATGGAATGGAATAGAGAAACCCAGACATAAACCCACACAAGTCTGTTCAACTGATTTTTGACAAAGTTGTAAAAGTAATTCAATGGAAGAAGGATAGCCTTTTCAACAAACAGTGCAGGAATAATTGACATCCATAGGCAAAATAAGTGAACTTTCACCCCAACATTACACCTGTACAAAAATTAACTCAAAAATGGGTCATAGACTTAAGATGTAAATCTATAACACTTGTAGAAAAAAAGCAGGAGGAAATCTTCATGATTAGGGCTCATCGAAGAGTTCTTAGGCTTGACACCATGAGCATGATCCATAAAAGGAAAAATATATTAATTAGATTTTTTAAATTATACCGTTTTATTGAATTGGAGATCTTAGTAAGATAATGTACAGCCCTGGCTGGTGTGGCTCAGTGGATTAAGCACCTGCTTGTGAACCAAAGAGTTGCAGGTTCGATTCCCAGTCAGTGCACCTGCCTGTGTTGCAGGCCAGGTCCCAGGTAGGGGGCACACAAGAGGCAACCATATGCTGATGTTTCTCTGCCTCTCTTTCTCCCTCCCTTCCCCTCTCTCTAAAAATAAATAAATAAAATCTTTTAAAATCTTTAAATAAGATGAGCTAGAGACTGGGCAAAATATTTGCAAACCACATAAATGACAAACTATTTGTGTCTAAAATATATACAGAACTCTCAAAACTCAAACATTCCAATTAGAAAATGTGCAAAAGATATAGACATTTCACTAAGGAGAATATACACATGACAAATAACACATGAAAAGATGTTCAGCAGCATTGGCCATCAGGAAAGTTCAAAATCATGCTGAAATATGACCACACACTTATCAGAATAGCTAAAATAAAAAATAGTAACAACACTAAATGCTGGCAAGGATGTGAGGAAACTGATCAGTCATACATGTGTTCTTCAACATATCAGGACACCCATGCCATGAAATGCTACTCAGAAGAACAAAGAAATGGATATCAGTTCTTTGCCATGTCATTCATGCAAGTCATGCAAGTCATTCATGCAATAACTTGAATGAGTCTCTTGGGAATTTTATTCAGCGAGAAAAAGTCCTAAAGTGTTGCATACTATATGATTGTATACTACTCTTGAAATGATAAAAAATACAGAGATGGGGAACAAGTTAGTGGGTGCCAAGGGTAATGGAATGGGGTGGATGGAAGGTGAATGTAACTGCAAAGTGTAGCAAGAAGGATCCTTGTGGTGACAGTACAGTTCTATATTGTATCAGTGTGTACATGAACCTATACATGTGATAAAATTGCATGCAA